TCCTCTTTTAAACTATTTCTGTATATATTTACAGATTTCAATGCTCTTTGATCACATAAAATTTTTAAAAATATATTTTTAGGCATTTATCTGGACATTTAAGTAAGGATTCTGACAAAAAATTCATCTTTATTAAGTGTAAATTTGTTGATACTCCTAGAAAGGCCTACATGTTGAAGAAATCAGGACTTGGAAGTACCAAGTCATTGGCAGAGCTAGGACCACAAGTCATTACCTTTTGTCTGTATGCTAGGATGCTCTTTTGTTATTTTTAAGTCCAGAGTAGACATTGTCTGATTGACTCTCCTCTTACGTATTGAAGTTATGGAATAAGAAACTTAGTCATAGATGAGAGTCCATGTGTTTACTGAAGCATTTCATTTTTATGGATTTCCCAAGAACTGATAAAACTAAATGAGAAACAAAAATATACCCAATAACGGATGAGCTCAGGCAAAGCCATGGTAATTTGCAGGTGGATTGGGAGATGGCTAAGACTTTCTGTGATTTTCCTTGGAGACTCTAAGACCTACTCTTAGAGTAGGCTTCTGAAGCAATGTGGATTATAGATGAGCAGGGATAAGGCAGGTAAGGCCACAGTAGCCTTTGGTTCTCTTAATTACTGGCTTTTGTAACCTATCTAGAACTATTATGAGGGTCCTTTGGACCCTTGGCACTTACTTTAAAATTGCACGTGATACAATCTGCTTTGTAAAATAATGCTGAGCTCTGACTACTGTTCTAATGTCAAGATAAAGATAAAATTTTAAGGTCCACACGTTTTTGTACTGGGGAGAATCATCATATGTGGTTTCCAGTAGAGAGTGCGACATGTTTACTTTAATAATAATGGTCATCCATAAGGAATAGAGCCCGATTCTGTGGTTGTGGGATGATGATACCATTGATTCATGGACATATGGCAACAATGGAAAACCAGTTGTGAATAATGAAGGACACCAGATTCTTACTCCATGCCTTTGTGGAAGCTGATAATATTGGAAGAGATGGCAAAATAAAAATGGTTGTTACCCATTTCCTAAAACCAGTGAATATAGTACTGTAAAGATATGCAGTTGTATAAATAGAGAGAAGCTGAGATTATTCCAGGACCATTCTGTTTCTAGGCTATGCATATATGCCTTGCTCTTCTCATCTTTATACCTGGAGCTTTACATTTTCATCACTTTTGGAACTTCCTTGGTGTATAGGCAGAAATGAAAAGAGGGGAACATCTAGACAACTTCATTCCTTTTAATCAGTTCTTTAAAAAAAAAAAAAAAGTTTAGTATTTCACTATTTAAAGAGGACCCTATACAGATGAGCAGTTGTCTGTGGATTCTAATCACCCAGAGCCCCAGCTCAATGTTATGGTCAAGGTTGTTTGAGATACGATAAATTGTCTCGGTCTCCTTCACCCAGCACAGTTAATTTCTTGTTGTATAGTCATTTTTGTGTTGTTGACCTGTTTTAGGGTCATATGCGAAAAAGGCTTGTCGATATTTGCACTTTCCTGAGAAGAGGATCCCTAGCTTTCACCCCATACTAAAATAATAATAATTATTTAAAATGTAAAATTAAGTTATTTTACATTTTAAAAGTAATTATTAATAATACTAAAATAATATTCTTTGAAGAAATCAGTATCTCAAACTAAGCTGAGGACCATTAGAAAATACACTTTCTACGCCTTTCTAGATTTTAAGCCACCAAATATCGAGAACTTTTGTTTCTTACTGATAAGAATTTCCCCCAGCGCTTGGCAATTGTCCCTTTCATAAGTGCTGTTTCATGGATGAATTTTAGAATTGAATGAAGCTGGGCCTAATTCCTTGGGCCCCATTGGGGTGCTCCATTAGAAGCTTGGGTTCCACACTGACCTCCCTTCAGGCCAAAGAAATTTTCAACAACATCCATTTACTTACCCAATTTATTTAGTTTCCTTTCCCGCTCAAACTTTTACCAACTCTAAAATAAGTAGAACTGATGGATTCACATTATCTTCAAATCATACCTGAGTAAAAAGGAAGAATGAAAATGTATGTCCAAGTTATGAACAAGCGTAAATACCTCAAGAGGCTGAATCATCCACAGTTTAACTTTTTTACAGAGGCCCCTTCCCAGGGTGATTGCCACATTAAAAGAAAAAGAAGTTATTAAAAAAGGAAAAGTATACAGGGTCTCTGTGATATAACTCTTGTCCATAAAGAGTAATCTAAATGAGAAATAAATGCACGCAAAATGTTAAGCAACTAACATGTCCTGGGTGGGAAAGAAAAAATAAAGCCCGCTGTGGTAGCATTCCTACATTTTTTGACTTCTCTGAGAATCAGGCGCCAGCACAAACAATAGAATAGAACATTAAGAGCACATTATATGAGGGCCCCTCAAAATGTATCTCACCAACCACTAGATTAAAATCACCCCACTGGGTAGTATTTTAAAAAGTCACCAGGCCATATTAGCGAAGTAATTACCAGGGTTAGCAAAGTATGATTACAGTGTTACCAACCTCTTTTCATTAAAATATGAAATATTTTCTTTAATGGTAATTGTACTTTCAGTGGATGGAGCAGGATATATTTAGGTGGATTTTAATAGCTACAGAGAAAATGTCTACTATTTAACAGGAATTTAATACAATCATGCCATTAATGAAAGTACCATCAGTAGTTAATCAGAGAGTAACTATAAGCAAAGTCAGGCGGATTTTGCTGTAGAAATGCAAACACAAAACGGCTACATTATGATTTCTGCATTCTGTATCTGTGGGTTTTTTTTTTTTTCCTTTTGAAAATGGTCCTTTTTATTTGTTTATTTGTTTTAAGCTCTGTAGCCATTACTGGTCATTTCAGTGGGTCTAGGATCAGAGGGCGGGAGCCCAGACCAAGTTTGTAAGAGCCCCCAGCACTCTTGGCATGAATGCATCACCCCCAAACTCAATGGGCAGCTACTGATTTCCCAGGATCATTTTATAATCCTCCCCAAAATGCTCCCATGGTTTCTGGAATTCCCAAGGCTTTCAGAGAGGTTGGAGCTATAGTTCTCAATGCTTGCTATACATCAGAATCACCGAGGGAGCTTTAAAATAATACAGATATTTGGATACTGCTTCCAAAGATTTCTGCTTCACTCATTCTCTGGTGGGACCCACATTACATGGTTTCTGGGAGATGCTTGGGTAGTTCTGGTGTGCACACAGGGCTGAACATCACTTGTGTAGATGTATCACCAGCTTAGCTTGACAGAGCCCAAGTGTAAGAAATCGGGAGTATCTTTAGGAACTGTAAGAACACCACACTTTATGAAATATATAAAATGGTATCAAAATAGTCTGAAAGAGTTTACCCTCTTCGTGTCTGAGATTTCTAAATCCAGCAAGTGCATAGGATATTATCCAACAACAGTCTCATTAAGAATTTGATTATCTAACCTGCCAGGAAATGCTTGACCACATACAAACCGTGACAGGGTCTGATCCCAACAGATGTCCTTGTAAAGCACCTGTTGAACTGAACTCTGCCACTGGCCCTTTAAATGAGATGGAGTTGTTTTAGTTTTCCAAAAGTAGTGGACCAGTTGGAATGCTAGAAATGCACATTTGCTGCTTACGTTCCACTCTAGTAAACCATCTCCAGAATCGCTGTGCTGATCTTTTGATTGTGTAGTTAATGAGAGAAGTCTGCAAATGCCATCAGGATTGGCCAGCAGCCTCGTTAATGGAGGTTTATTAGAGGGAGCCAATAATGAAAACTTAGGTTGTTTGTACCCTCTCATGAGTCTGTCAAGAATTGTTAAAAACTGGAACTGTGGTTGTAACTTGGAGAATGTTAAGACCTCACCTAGAAAGCCGTTTCACATTTCTTCTGAGTGAAGAGTCTAAATTTGTGTTTGGTTATAAAGGAATAGCTAAAATGTGACACGGCTTAATGCCAAGCATGCCTATGGGTGACTCTATCCAGAAACTGACCTGAACGAGCAGCCTTAGGATCGTCCGCTCAAGTGCATTCATTGTGTCTATCTATAGCATAGACGGCATCGGGTACCACCTGGCTGAAAGTCATGGGTTACACAGAGCTATGCAAATACTTCATTTTGGAGACAGCTGAATTACTCCCTGACCTGACATGAGTGAGAGGGAGGGTCATCTTCACTCTTATGCCTTCCTGCCCTTTCTAAAAATAGTAGGGCCTTTAATAAGAAGATATTTTAAGCCTCTCATATTCACTTGTCTCATCAGGAGAAGCTTATTTTGGCCCCTTGCATGTGTCAGATGTGCATGGGGCATAGCTAGACCTCGGAGCGCGGTCTTGCTCCTGCACAGCGCTCATATAAGACAGTGGCCAACATAAAGTCACTGGGATTACCAGCTGAGAGGCAGTGGGTAAACATAAACGAAGGGGAGATACTGCTTAGGAATGTGAATATGCTTCCGAAATCCTCCATTTCATGGAGGGCCCATCAGTCCTCCGCTTTTCGGATCTGTTTTCCTAAAACCCGGCTGTGAAGTTGCTCCAGAGACCTCAGTGATGTTGCCGCTTTTAATAAATGCTGATAGGAGCCACTACCAGCCTGTGGATAAGGGAAACTCATGAGGAACTGCCATCCCAAATCTGAACAGCAAAACCAAAACCGGGCAAAACCACAAATCCCAAAACAAAACCCCAAAAGAACCACCCCAACAATCCATGCCCGCAAGAAGACGCACAGGAAAGCATTGCGATGTAACTTTGACTTGGTGACTGGACCTATCAGTCACGTGACTGGCAGGCACTAGGTAGTTTGTCTTATTCTCCTTTGAAAAACAAGTGCAAATCTTGTTTATTCTGCACAACGGGGACCAAACAATTATGCTTGGGAGGAGACACAGACTCTAGAAGCAAGATGGAATTTGAGCAGGTAAACCCCGAGCCACAGGCCTGTCATTCCGGGGCGGTCGTGCGTGGTTCTCGTGTTTGCGCCTCTAAGAAATTTCCGTTTTTTCGCATCAAAAAATCCAGATACGAAGCCGAAGCTGCTTTCTTCGCCAACCTGAAGCTGTCTGACTTCAACATCATCGACACCCTCGGAGTCGGAGGCTTCGGACGAGTGGAGCTGGTAGGTGATTCTTCTTTACATGCTCTGGGGAGCCCCTCTTCCTGTTGCATTTTTCCCTGTAGATTAAGATTTCTTTCTACACTCTCATCATTACTTTTTACCATTCCTGAATCCGTACCAAATGCTTTCATGTCCGCACATCCGAGTGTGAAACAGGTACAGTGAGCTATATATTACGTAGCCTGTAAACTGACAATAAAAAAAAATATATATTTTTTTTTAGAAAAACCTCCTCATAGTAAATGAAAGGTAAACACATTAACTTGACGAGGAGCCATAAAACGCTTTTTACCCAGCTGATATTCTGCGACCTCTACTCCCTTAGTTCTGAGCAGTGCTCACCAACTTAGTCATGCGCCCTACCTACGTTAAGTTTAAATATAGAGAGGGAAATGGAATATGTATATATATATATATGTTATATGTAGATACATACATAATATAATACATATGCATATATATTTCATTTCCTTTATATATATTTAAATTTACATTTTAATTATTGTAGTTGTAGATCAGGTACATGAATAAGTTAGAGAATATGGCTCAGAGCTAGGGAAGCAAATAAATGAGTAAAATCTATATTTAATTAAAGAGGTTTAATACTGCTTTAAAACTTTAAGAAAACATAAATAACGTTCTAGTATTCTGTGATTCCGTAGCAAGCACCTAGTTATATTAGATAATATATTAGATAATATGGTTTGAATATTTCACACACGTTTGTGTACACAAACAGATACAGGTAAGCATCAGGATGATGGGGACATTTTGGTGCAAGTTTATTCATTCAACATATTGCATGAATGTGGTGCAAACCAAACAGAAGCATAGCCTTTGAAATATAAATTTAAGAACTGGTCTGTTACAACATAGACCAGAGAAAAAAAAATGTATTCTGGTAACTGAGTTGCTGCATTCGGAGATGGTGTGGATATAACCTCTGTTGAGAAGGCAGATTAATTTCCACCTCTCTGCTGAATCTGGAGGAGCCCCTGATATCAGATACCAGTACAGTATGTTAGGAACTCCCTGTACAGTGCAGTAAACAGTTACTGTTGCCATCAGGGACAAGAGAAATCCCCTTCCATAAAAGCAGATTGACCCGGCCCTGTGTTTGATATTTGTCCCATTTGTGCTGCAGTTGGGATTCCTGGCTTTTGACAGGCAAGAAAAATGCCATTTACTTAAACATGAGACAAGAAAATAACTAGACAAGAAAATTTCGAGCCATGGTGTGTTTCGTTGAATTGGCATTAGGCTTCCGGTAACACTAGTTGGAGATGCTATAGTCAGGCTGCTTCTGACTTGACGTCTGACGTCCTAGTGAGGATTTTCGGCTATAGGAATACAAATCAGGGGTCTAGGAAAACTTGTTTCTCTGAATTCTGCCAGTCAACACAGTCTTTGGTTTCGTTTTCACGAACTTTGCTTTTGTGACAAAATCTAACTGTTCTTAGAGCTAGTGAAGATTTATTACCAGTGTTATATTTGTCCTGGGGTGTTGGGGCATATAAACAGGTCGGGGGGCAGAGGTCCTTGCCAGGAATAGCGTATTGTCTGCTGTGTTTATTTACATACCTGCATGTATCTCCACCCCTTTCTGAATGAAGCACTATATGGACAGAACTCCCTAGAGGTTGATTTTGTGACTTGTAGTTTCTTAAGTATCATTTTGTAAAGACTTTGGACAATAAAATTGTTGTCTTAGTTGACCAAAAAAAATTTATGTCACAAATTTGTGGATTCTTAAAGGTCTGAGGATCTCAAGTTGGGGACCTTTAGGTCACCAGTAAGGTATTTTATGAAATAGAGTTTACTCTGGATGTTTGAAATGCTGAAGGTTGCTCATAGACACTGAAATCACTTCAAGCTGAACAATTAAATGCCAAGCGGGCAGTGGAAACCTTCTAGAGACTTCCCTCAAAAATGTCTGAGGAGGCACCACTAATCAGAAAATTAGGGAAGGCTCAGTGTGAGCATATAAAAGGTGACCATATAAAATGTGGTTTAAAAAGACAAAATAACCTGTGTGTTTGTGTGTGTGTACACATTCATAATTTCCATCCCAGGAGAGAGTCAAGGGTAGTTCAGCCTAATTTTTTTCTCATGGATATTATATTTTACTCTTCCACACAGTTGTTTATAGACTAATGAAAACCATAACCTCAGGAATTAATTTTAATTGGAGTCCAGTTTGCAAAAACGTTAGATATGCTCATGAATGATAAATCCACAATGGGCCAGGTAGGCACAACCAGTACATTAGAAAAGAGGCACGTGGTTTTAACCTCTGAAGTGACATCTTCATGTCACGTGATTTTGCACTTCCCCAGAAACCCCTCGTGAAAATCAGAATACCCTGATTGTCTTCACTGTTCGATGTGGACTAGCCGGTTAGGTGATGACTCTTGCCCTACAATTCATCGCCCCCTGTTCTTACCACTTACTCACCGCCTGAGAATATTAATTTTGGGGTATGAAAAGTATTCTCCTCTGTGATTGTTCGTTTGTCACATGTGTTCGGTGATGCCAGAATTGGGAGTCTGGCCTCAGCGCTTTGACTGTTGTCATCGCGAATAGTCATCTCCGCGAATAGTCATCGCGGCAAATAGTGAATCGCCATGAACTTGGCACAGGGGGCAGTAGAGTGCACCCTCAGACCAGTACGCACGCCATTCTTAGTGGGAGAGGACCGGGCTGAGCCCCGTTCTGTTGTGATTATAGAACTTCGCTTCACTCCCCTCTGAAACTGATGCTTGCAAGATCATGTTATCAGTATTATAGAGTGATATATTAAAAAGTACTGCCTTCACATGGACGAATTTCACATATGCACCACATGTACAAGTATATAAAATGGATACCTTGAACCTACCAGTCCTTGGTTCAGCAATGATGTTGATCAGGTAAATAACATCATAAAAACCACATGACACTTTAATTTTACAATGGTATTTAAAACTTTTTCCCAAGTATAGATTATAAAATGACAAACTCTTGAATTGGGTATGAAGAATTAAATTTGAATTGTTGAACCCCATTTCCTGGTAGGACTAAGTTACAAGTTTTCTCATCGTTTGGTATACAAATTAGCTTCGTGTTATTTTGCGTAATGATATGCAAAGGCTTCTTAGCATGTCTTAATTTTTTATTATTTATCTCAATTTGGATGAATTTAGATGCCAGAGGATTTTTCAGGCAGGACAATTACTAAGTAGTTTATTGCCAAATTTGGAGAAGAGAATGTAATTTTGGCGCCTAATAGAAACTTGAATCATTGTTCAGTGATGAGACCAGAAGCTTGAAGAACTGGTCTTATATGAATGGGAATTCTGCTCTGAAGCCATTAATTCTATTTCATAAATACTTTTAGCAGAACTGATTTTAATGAGGTGAGTATCAGACATGTTCTCTTCACAGCTATTACCTCCAGGAAGTCATCCATACTGCTTTTTTCTGTTATCTGGCAGAAACCATATTTTCTGACCATTTTTTTTTTATTTTGAAGAATGAGCTTTTTAATTTGTTCAGTGCTGCCTGTTTATCTTCCAGAAGACCACATTTCATTTATAATAGCACTTTCAGCAAAAGAACTCAGTTTTTTATAGATGATTTACTCATTAAAGCAGTAAGCGCTGCTCTAAGACACAATGGTAATCCTCTTAATTAATAAGTATGACTGCAAAATACGGAGATTGATTTTACGGTCACACATGGAAATTTGTCTCATCGCTCTATGGTCACATTCCTGATTTACTTTTGCTCTCGTCAGAGAGGTGCTTGCTTTTCAGAATAGATTTGCACAAATCAGCCTTTTTAATCTGGCAGTGCTGTTGTGGTTTAGATATTAGATATTTAATCGTTTTATTCAGCAATCCAATGCCTCCTTGACCAGAGTACTATAGTTGGATAAAGATATAGGGACCAAGATATGGAAGACATAATCTCTGTCTTCTTGGATTACATCCTCTATCACTTGTTACATATTTATGTAGCAAGCTGTATGCTGGGACATACAGTTTAAAGTGAGGTAGCCACTGCCTCTAGGGACTCAGTTTACTGGGAAGGACGGTCATGTAAACTAATAATCCAGTAATCAAAGTACGAGCAGCATGTGCGGGGTCGTGTAGGAGGTGGCATCCTAAGACAGAGGGAGAGTTAGCGCATCTACAGAAATCACCCGAAGCAATACGGTACACTCCTGTAAAATATACCTACTGCAGGCTAGTTTATTGACAAAGTGATATTAATCATGTTTTTAATTTAGCGATGCCACTTCCTTACTAAAATAATCAAGCCTGGCACCTGAACCCTGCTCTGTGACCTTCACATTGCTCCACATCCAGTGTATCATTTTACCTTTCTAGTTACTCTGGGAGCAGAACAGGAGGCGTGATCTGCTTCTACGAGAAGGAAGTCAGGATTAACGCATCTCAGGAGCCTAAGACCATGCAGTCAGTAAAAGGGCTGTTACTGCCCAGAACTACTGATATGTTTGTTTGTGTTTTTTTTTTAAGATTTTATTTATCTATTTGTCAGAGGGAACATAAGCAGGGGGAGCGGGAGAGGGAGAAGCAGGCTTCCTGCTGAGCAGGGAGCCCGATGTGGGTTTCGATCCCAGGACCCCGGGATCATGACCCGAGCTGAAGGCAGACGCTTAACGACTGAACCACCCAGGCATCCCCACTGATTTGTTTTTAACTAGAAGCTTTTTCTATCAGTCTGGCTTCTAAAAATATTTAGATTCTTATCACACCAACAACAGCCACCATGACGACATCAAATAAATGTCACATGTACAACCTTTGTTTAAAAAAAAAAATCTTCAAGAACCTGTGTATTAGACCTAAATCTAGAATCAATGCTGTGATGATCCACTCTTCACATCTGCTTCTGTCAAACCTGCAGAGGCTCTCCCTCCTCTGAATCTTTTGCTGTTCTTATTTCCTTGGTAAAATGTCTGTGCAGGAAAAGAAAAAAAAAAAAGTCACCTAAAA